AGCCTTCCCTATAATTTTTGACAAAATCTGATAGCCTCTTTTGTAGGACAATGTTTTAAAAAATTCTCGATTGACAAATTTTAAATTTAAGTATTTCTTTAAGGAATTTTTAAATGTTTTTTGCAAATCTAGCAATTTTTATTTCAGTACATCTGACACTTTCGTAGTCTCCCCAACTGTCTTTTGAAGCAGGATGTTTTGAAAAGTCTCGATTGACACTTTACTTAATAAATAAAAATGAAACTCTTAATCAAATCCGACAGGATTTGACCACATCGACTAGTAAATAACTATTTTTTGTGTATTGAATTATTATTTAAAGATAGGTTATTATGAGTTTATGTTTATGTTTAGTTTGTGTGGCGAAGCTGAACGTTTATTTATATTATAAATAATTTATCTGAGCCACATTAACTCACTTTTACTCCAAATAACATATAAAATTTTATCTCGAAAATATCGAGAGTAAAGAACAACATAATAACCATCAATTTGTGTTGAGATTTTCGGAAGTATTTTAATTTAACTAGTGGATGACTAGTGCAGTTAGTAGTAAAAACGCTTAAGTGAAAAAACCCACTTTTAACTCCTTGCCTGAAAGGTGTGGCATAAAAAGGTCACTTTTGTGACGTTTGGGGATAAAATGTTGAGCCACAGTTAAATTTTTCCACTTTTGTGATTCTGACGACCGTCAAGGTCTACAAAATCTCATTTCTCTTCAATTTTTTCGGTTCATCGATTCATTTGCCGAAAGCAAACAATGAAATTTCTCAAACGTTGCAGTGATTTAAATTCTTTGTTGTGTTTTTGTTGGTGGAAGATGCGAACTGTGTAATTAGTTCCGGACGAGGTCATTAGCAGTAAAATTTTACGTTCCCTGTTTACCAAGCCGAGACGTCAAAAATTTAATCAGATGTAGGAATTATTAAAGGGCCACATACTATATTTTTTGTGGGGAAAAATTATTTAATTATAGAAAAAGTAACGGTTCAGTGAGACGACGCCAATTGCATATCAAAACACGGAATCGAGGTGTGAAAACAGATTTAAGATAACTGAAGCGGTTCCCGGAAATGGGAGACACTTCCGGGCCAACGGCTGTCGCGAATTCGGGAGAAATATGGGCTTTAGGGGAGGACAAAACAAATTCTTTAATTAATTATGAATATTTGGCGCATCCAGCGGTGGCAACCTGAGCTTCTAATTTATCACATTTTTACTGTTCATTTTATTTTCCCGAAGAAAATTACCAGAAAAGCGCACATTTAAGAAAATCACTAGTTTCGGGTAATAAATGATTAAAAGAATCGAAATGTGTGATTCCTAACCTCGGCTTCGCCTCGGTTGATAAAATTGTTTAATTTTTGATCAAAGTGGTCTATGATTTTGAAATTAAGTTGGCAACAATGAATAACATAGACAGAAGTAACCACGTGACTGTACTCGCGCCCCAGAGAAAAATTTCAAGTAAGATATGATACCAGGAACATGAAAAAATGTTAAAAAAATTCTATCTGTCAAAAAATTTGACATTTATTTTTTGACATTTCATATTTTTTATGTCTTTAATGATACTGATGATCTTGTATATGTTTTTCTATAATTATTTAGTAAAAGTACAAAAATTTTGTTAATAAAAACCACAAATAACATTAAACAAAGATACAATTTAGGATACAGCTTCCTTGTTTCCTTTTCTAATAGTTTGTAGCAAAAATTGGAAAAGTATTTTTCCGACAGAAATAAATGAGTCAAAGTGCAAAATTTAAATTCTCATAACTTCGACTTTTTTAAAGATAATTTATTATAATTAATAATTAAATTAATTTATAATTAAAATAGATTTTACATGGCATTTTTCTCTGGGGCGCGGGTTCTGGCGCACCCTGTATACAGGATGTTCCAAAAGTCTGGAAACTGTTATTCTGGCGAAACTATCAAATTTTTTGGCAAATAAATTTATAGGTGTGCAATGGCTATAAAAATGCTATTCAGAAAAAAATTTGAATATTAATTATTTGTTTATTCTTACGAGATAAACATAGTAACATTGTTTTTTTAAATGGAAACCTATCACAATTTTTTTAGACAACGAGCTTGTTACAAGAATTGGTACCATGCAAAAAATTTTTTTGTAAACCTCACACTTTTTTGTTAAAAAAATTTTTGACTTACTAGAATTTGAATTTTTTTGAGTAAACTACCAGTTTTTTTGGAAATAAATTAATAAATGTTCAAAGGTTGTAAAGGAGCAATGCCAAAATATTTTTTGTTTTAATTAATTGTTTAAACTTTTGAGATTACCATACTAATAATTTTTTTCTTAAATAAAAACGGTTTTTTATTTATTGTTTTACAAAGATATGTTCATGCATTTTATAAATGTACAAAAATATTTATTGAAAATGTTACAATTTACGTTAAAAAATTTATAAACTTTATCTATTGTCAAAACTTTCATATTTCATATTAATGTGCATAGAAGTAATCGTTGAAAGAGATCATTTTAAGGTGGCAATCATGCAAAAATTCCAAAAACCCAATCATTCCTACAAATAATTTTTTTAAATAAATGTGTATCCCAGGTGGCAAAAAATAATTAAAATAAAATTAAAACAAGATATTTTTTTTCATTTCTTCTTATAGAATTCTTTCTTGTTTTTTCTTTTTGTTTCTGAGAGACTGGCAATGTTTTCTTTCTTTACTTTTAGTTATTAAGTAACTTCCGAATTTATTTTTATTTAAATTTTATATTGTTTATAAT